GAAAGGACGCTGACATTTACTGAACAAGCATCTTTATGTGGGTAGCCTATCTTAGAGGCTGACTGTTTCATCAAATTCTGAGGTGTGTGCGCTGTAGTAGCCCCCTGCAGCCTATGAGACTGCTCTTCTACTGTTTCTGGAATCCACCATCCTCACAGGCATGGTGCTGTGGAAGGGCTGCTCTGTTTAGGAGAGGTTAGGAGTTTTGGCAGAGTACCAGGAGGGCCTGGGAGCTGGTGAGTGACGCATCCCTGCCATGCCTTCCCGTGGCTTGCTTGCAGTGCCCTCCTAACCTGATGACTGTCCTCCCCCTCACAAGCTCTGTAGGAAACAGACTAGATGTGTAGACAGCAAGGACAGTAGGAGTGCTGAATGCCTTTTTATAAAAAAAAAACAAACCCACTTCTGCTATACTCCTTATCCTTGTACTAGAAGCTTGTAGGAGTTCAGATTTTTTTTTTTTTTAAGTCTCTCAAGGAAAATAACCAGCTTGAAATATGTCATGACTAGAATAGCCTTAGTCTCTACAAAGATTATTTAAAGTGTATCAAATAAAATAAGATTGTAGCATGGTATTGAAAACATTTGTAATCATTCCAATAAATCATTTTTTACCAGTGCTTTGAAAACAATTCTGCATTTCTCCTAATAATAATACTAACAATCACAGCAATAATGGCAACTATTATTGAATATTTATTATGTACCAGGCACTAAAGCAAGGGTTTTGTATACTAAATAATTTAACTTTCCCTCTCCCCACATCTGAATTAGAGGTATTGTGACCTTCAGTTTATAGATGAGGAAACTGAGGTGAGAGAAGTTTTAAAAAAGACCTAGAACATGTGGCTAAAAAGTGGCAGTGATAAACCTCTAACTAATGAGAGGCTTTCGTGCCTATGAGGCTTTAGTGCCTATGATCAGTGGTTTTATGTGGTTCAGGGAGACCTACCGCACTAATTTAATACATATGGCTCTAGGTAGATATACACTCATTTCTTGTATTCCTGCACAGTTTACAGACTGGACCATTTTTCCTTTATCCCCCAGATACTGATTTTATAACTATAGACAGAGTGCTCTGCTAGGCCCTTAGAGAATAGAAAACCCTTGAGGAGTTCCCTATCCAGAAGGGAACATAAGAAAGAAATATTAGGTGGAGTCACATGACATTGCCATTGGGAATTTTGAGAAGATTCCACACGGTTCAACCTGACACATCACTAAAATAAGGCAATATGATACTCTCTAAATATATTGCCCCCTCCTTATGTTTCAGGCACTGTGCTAATAAGCATTATAAAAGTACTAGTTCCTGAATCCTTAAAATAACTCTCAGACACAGGTACTATAATTATCCCCATTTTATAGATGAGGAAGTGGAGGCTCTGAGGGGTGAAGTGACATGCCTAAAGCCACACACCTGGTATGTGACAAAGATGGAATTTGAACCCTGGTCAGTCTGAGCACCAGAGCCTGTATACTTTAGCCTCAGAATATATAGTACCTTTATAGAATTACAGATAAAAGTATAGAGCTTAATATACACACTGAAATTTTTAAATTTTTTTTATTTCACAAATACTCTGTAGAGCCCTTTACAACTCATCTGGTATATTTTTATGATCTAAACATATTTGGCCAAGCGTATCACCTACCACTTAATCTCCAGCATTTGCATTCCTTCCTCTCATACTGGCTAATCACCAAGGAGAACATTTGGAGGGGGAAAAAAACCAGAAACATTTCCTCTTTTAATTGTTGTATGGACATTGAGTCTGGTTTTTTGGAGGCCCAAACACATGGTAGAACATTTCAATTATAATTACATCCTCTTTTTTCCCTCCTGTGTCCAGTTGTCCCTCCTTCTAGGTCATATACACATATGGAAATCATAGGAATGATCATTAAATTATAGGCAATGTGATTAAAGTTATTTATATATAGTAAAGCCATTTTAAGAACTTTCCTCTTTAGAAGTTTCCTAATATTACAATCAAATACCAAAATCCTATCTATGTAAATCATAATTTAAAATTTTATGTAAGGGCCTCCCCAGTGGCGCAGTGGTTGAGCGCTGGGTTGCAAAGCTGCCAGCAGCCTCTGCAGCACCGGTTCAGTCCCCAGCTGCTCCCCGGCCACGGCAGGCGGGTCCCACATGGCGCGCAGACCTCTCCTGCCGCCCGCTGCTCCCCTCAGCAGTGTACTTCGGTCCTTCTGACTGCTCTGCTCCCTGCTCTGGCTCTGGTGAGTTCTCTCACCCTCCCACGCTTCTTACTGTACCCACTGCTTGTATAAATAAATAAATAAATCTTAAAAATATATATATAAAAAATTTTTTTATGTAAAAAGGCATATCCTTTATTTAAAAGGTTAAGTTTCTTAATCACATGGGAAAAATTCAGTTGTTTTCATATTGCTTTATTTTAAATGATTTTGATTTTGTTGTTATCTGGTGAATCTGAGATTCTCTCCATTGTTATCCAAATATTTTGCAGCTCCACCCCAAATTTTAAATTTGACAACTGGCACTGTCAAAGTAGCTCTTCCCTAATAAGAGTATTGTCACTCAGCTTGTGCCACAGGAAATTAATTTATATTGAAACAGCAAAGACTGCTTGTCCCACTAGATCTTTTTCAGGCCTTGAAAAGGGGGTGGGTGTTATTTTTTTTAAAGATTTATTTATTTATGCATACAAGAACTGGGGTACTGGCCAGAGGCACGGGAGGGTGAGAGGATTCACCAGAAACAGAGTGGGGAGCAGAACAGGCGGATCTACTGAAATACACCGCTGAGGGGAGCAGCGGGCGAGATAGGAGAGGTCTGCTGCGCCATGTGGGTCACCTCCCTGGCCAGGGATCGACCTCATACTGCAGTGGCTGCGGCTAAACCCTTGTGCCACCAGGGAGGGCCCGGGGTGGATTTTAGAGTCAACCTGAACAGGGTTTCCCTAACAACCCTTATTAGATTGATAATCCCAGACAAATTACTGAAACCACTGGGAATCTCGTTTGCAATATCAGGGTAATTAAACCCTATTCTACAGTTTTGAGTGAAGGTTTATGCAATAATGTATACGCGTGTTAGGATACTAGCTGATGGCACTTAGTAGATCCTCAAGAAATGTCAGTGCTCTTATATTTGGACATTCTTTTAAACGCCTGCAATGCCCACTCTTTATGAGTATATACATTCAGTTTTGTTAGACTTTCTTTTAAAGTCGTATTTGTGTTTCTTCAGGGTTTTGGCTGACTTCGGAGAATAGCTTTCTGAAATCCATTAATATTTCATTGGAGCTGTGGAGCAACAGCTGTAAAACTTGCTTGGTGGGCCCTAATTGCAATGAATAATCCATGGCCTCTTGAAATGTAATTCTTCAAAACGGGTATTATAATTAAATTCCAGCCAATCCAAAGGCCTTTAAAACATGTTTAAAAATTACCCAAGCCAATTAGAAAACTGGTTGGTCCAACTGTCAAGTGTAGAGAAATATGCTAATTTATGCAAAGACTACTGTTCCAGGAAGGCCTTGACTGAATGTGAAGAACAGCATCTTCTAAGAAAACACCTTGATACTATGATACTAAATCACTGAATGTATTTTTTAGGCTTGTCTAAATACAAAGCATACATTATGAAGGACAGAGTGGCAATTACTAGAGCAAGATATGGTTGGTTGGTTTGTGTTTTTAAAGATCTTCTATCTTGAATATGACAACATTGCCTGCCAAGCTTGACAAGTACTTTGTGCAATATAGTATAATCACAGTATCCTTATATATGTAGCAAGCAGGGTGCATGACCATGAACTTTTTTTAAATATAGGGGCTAGAAAAACTAAACAATTTTTCTTAAATAATTTAAATCTAGGGATAATTTTATTTAGAGCTCAAAATACCAGCAGGATATGGGTTTGAACATTCTGTTTACCATTCATTGCTATATGCTTTACAAACTTTTAAAATAATTTTAGAACACTTCTGGTACTTACATGTTTTGTTTTTTTTTTAAACCTGAATCCCATTCTTGTGTAATTTGTCTTTTACCTATCCTCATGATGTTCATCTAAAATAAAAGCCAACAAAATCTCCACTGTATTTTCATGGGCATTTACAGGAAAAACAAATGTAGTTAACCTGGACCACAAAGCACCCATTCTCAATCCACACTATCATAATTAACATTTATTTAAACTCTGAGTGCTTGATGGTTTATGGAAACATATCAAGGATTTGAGTTTTAAAACGGGTAGTAATTGGAGTACTTGGAGCAAAGGCTGTTAAGAGGTTGGGTAGATTCCTTTTTAAGGCTGCAGATTATGTAATGAAAAGTCCACAAATTGGTGATCAAGGCTATCTAATGTAAAAACAAGACAGTCTTTATGAGTGTTTTGAGAGTGACTTAGCTCCTCACCTTCATCTTGGCCGCTAAGGTTGTTTTTTTTTTTTTCCTTTTAATGTTGACATACAGGTTTCACAGATAAGGTTTCACAGCATTTTAGAATGGAAAGAGAGGGTCCTGCAAAGGAAAACTTAATACATTTAAGAGTTAGAATGAACCGGTTATTTGCCAAATAACAAAGTTAAAGTGATGTTTCAGGTTTTTTTTTTAAGCCTATGCAAAAAAGTATTTACTGGGGCTTGTTCTAATTAGAGTTCTAAACAAATATTGGGGGGTTGTTTGTTTTTAAACACCCCCTTCGCCTCCACCCCCTGGAGCTAAAACGTGTGTGTGTGTGTGTGTGTGTGTGTGTGTGTGTGTGTGTGTGTGTGTGTGTGTGAGAGTGTGCAGGGCGCCTGCGGAGAACAGCACGCATCTTGTAGATCTTAAAAAGGGGGAAAAAAAAAAAAAGCCAAATAAACCTGTTTCTTGAATAAAACGATCCATTTCTTAAGTTAAAAAGAATCCCAGAGGAAACAGGAATTAACAGCTTGGGAGCTTGATTTCAAAAAAAAAAAATTAATGAAAAAAAAATCCTAATTTCCACATTTTTTGCTAGGCGAGCCCCGAAGTTTGGAGGCAGACGAGGAGCAGGCAGCGGCCCGCCGGGCGCGGAGCATGAAGGCCGGGCGGGCGCGGGGAGCGGGCGCCCGCCGCCCGGCGCGGGGGTGAGCGAGAGAGAGAGCGGAGCGCGTGTGGCCGGCGCCGCTCGGCCGGGAGCTCCCGCGCCCGCGCCCCGCGCCCCGCGCCCGCCGCCGCCGCCGCCCCTGGTGCGATGGCGCAGAAACCCCGTTGACAAGGCACTGCTTTTTCATGACGGTGAGTTTCCCTTTGAGTGTATTATAATTTTGTGATAAAAATTTCAAGGAAGAAAAAAAAACCACACAACCTCCTTCCTCTGCCTCTTTCCTTCGGGGAGGGGAGCCGCGAGGGAGGGGGCTGGAGATCTATCTCCAGACAGACAGAAGAGAAAGAGGAGCAAATTAAACACCGAGTTGCCAAAACCAGGATATTAGGTTTCAGCCCAGAGAGCTATTGGCTAAGGCTGTGTTTTTTTTTTTTGGGGGGGGTGGGTTTGTGGGTGGGTGATGGTGGTGGTGGGTGGATGTTTAATGGACACGGAGAAAAGGGGAATCGAGTGTTTATGCCGCTCCCAGCGCCGCCCGGGCCCCGGGAAGCCCAAGTTCAGTGTCTCGGGCGGGGGCCGGGCGGGGGGCGGGCGGGCGGGGGCGGCGGGGCCGGGCCGGGGGCGCCGCGGCGGGGCGGGGGGCGGGGGGCCTGGCGCCTTTTTTTTTTTTTTTTTTCCTTCTCCGCGGATGCAAATTTCTGGAGAGGGGAGAGGGAGCGCCTGGGAAGGGGGGTGGCGTGGCGGTTGGCGGCGGGGAGGAGAGGGGAGGGAAGCCTTTTAATGACTCATTGATTGAGCCGGTTTAAAATTAGTTGTGTGCGCGAGAGCGAGTGTCGTCCGCCCCCCGGAGCCGCCGGGAGCCGGGAAGGAGGGAGCGGGGCTCGGCGCGGGGAGGACGGCGCGGCGGGGCCGCGAGCCGGGGGCAGGGAGGGCCGGGAGTGACGGCGGGCCGGGAAGAAAAATCAGCTTTTCCAATCTCCTCCCCTCGCCCCCCCTCGCCGCTGCTCTCTCTCGCGCTCTCGGAAGCTCTTGGGTGTGAATCGCTTTTTCTTTCTTCTCGGCAAAATGGACCCCGCGCCTCTGAGGGGGAGGGGACAGGGTGGGGAAGAAGGCGGCGGCGCGGACGGGGTTTCTTTTTCGTCCCGGCTTCCCCCTTCCCGCGGCTTCTGCGGGCGGCCGCGGCGAGGAGAGCCCGGGGCCCGCCGGCCCGGCCGCCCCTTCCCCGTCGCCGGCTTCCAGGCGCCGCCGAGGACCCGCGGCCGGGCCGGGACCAGCCCTTGCGCCGCGCCGAGGACCCGCGGCCCGGCCGGGAGCCCCGTGAGGGGCCCGCGCGGCCGGGCCGAAGAGACGGGAGGCTCCAGTGGCACAATTTTGGCCGAGAACGCGCGGGCCTGGCGCGGCTCGGGCCCCTCGAGTCGCCCCGAAAGCGGGATGGGGGTGGGGGTGGCGGCGGGAAGGCGCAAAGATGGCGCTGGGCCTGGCCCGTCGCCAGGGCTAGTGGCGCAGTTGCTCCGCGGGCGCCATCTTCCCGGGCGGCGCGGGCGGCGCGCTTCGTGGACGCTTCGCGGGCCCGGGCGCCGCGGGGGCCGGGGCCGGGGGCAGCCGCGCTCCGGGGCCGAGTTCCGTAAAAGGGGCCGGGGCCGCGCCGCCGAGCCGCAGGGCCGAGACGCTTTGTCCTTCGCCGTGTCCCCCAGACCCAAAAGACAAGGTGGCGGTCCGAACGGGCCGGGGCCGGCGGCGTCCTGCTCCTGGCGCTGGTTTCGGAGGGTGGGAGCGGGCCGGGGCCGGCCTCGCCGCTGGGGCGCTCCCCGACCCCGCGCCCCGCCCGGGTCACAATGGGGAGGTGAGGGGTCGCGCCGCGTCCCCCCGGCCTGTAACCGGCGGCTTTGTCTTCCCTGGCCCGGCTGGAGGCAGGAGTTGAGGCTTTTCCTTCTTCCTCTAACAATTGATTTTCAGAGTAGTGAAGCCAGGTTACAAAATTGTAAAGAAGAAAAAAAGAAAAGGTCGAGGGCAGCCTCTGTCTACCTCTCGGTAACATTGTATCTTAACGTTCGTGGGGTTTTTTTTTTAAATTATTATTTGTTTGGGTTTTTTTAATTGGTTGTATTTTAAAACAGCCCTGGCGAGACATCTAGTTGCCAGATTTGTGGGAAGGCGATAAATTTCAGGGGATTGAAACGTCTTGACTTTTCATAGGGGCAGTAAATTAAAATTTAGAACCCTGGTCTGGAAAATTAAACTCGCTTTATAACACCCCGAGAATCTTTTTTCCTTTCCCTTTCTTTAAAAAAAAAAAAACAAAAAGCTTGCCCTGTGTTAGGGGTTATCTCATCAAAACGACTTTAAAGTTACCTACCCACTAGTAACAGTGTTTCCTTAAAAGAAGCCATTTAAGTATTTGTCCTGTAGTAGCTCTTTGTTAAGAGCGATGGGGGGTGGAGGAGTGGTTAACTTTGTTTTCTATTGTTACTGAAAAGATTATTGGGAGGAGAGAGTCTGTAAATCCTTGATCTAAGAGTTCACAGAGATGGAGAGTAAGTAGTTAATTTCTAGGGGATAAAAGTAACACAGTAGCGCCAGTAGTTGTGTCCTTGTGTTTGGAAGCACACCACGTACAGTCGATGTTTTAGATCCTTTAATAAGACGTATTATTGAACGCTGCTCAGTAACTGCGTGGTGCTTTTTATATAATTCCCATTTATGGCATCAGTCCTGCAATATTGATTTTATTATCTACTTACCACGGAAGGAACTGATGTTCAGCAAGATATATGAATTGCCAAAGGTCTTGCAGTTTTAAGTAGTAGAATTGACACTGGATCCCAGAAGTGGTGTTCTTGTCTCTGTAGCTAATGGTTCCCAGCTCTGAGCATCATAATCAACTGGAGAGACGTTTTTAAATATAGATTTGTAACATCACCTCTTCCTCCATTATTTGTTAGGACCAGCTGGTGGTTGGTTTTTTGTTGTTTGTTTTAAGGTCTGGATAACAAGTTAATGACCCCTGATTATCTCTAATTTTGAAATTCTGACCAACCCAGGACCCCCTAAATCCCAATATATAAGGCTCTGTCATTCCAAAGCTTTCCAGGCCTGCAGTGTTACAGATACACATTTGGAATAACACTGGTCTACACTATGCTGCTGGCTCTTTTCTGAATTGGAACATGACACTTGAGGTTCATATTTTCAGTTTCAGCACAGGTATACTGCTCACAAATGTTTTACCTTTCTTCTCTAACTGTCTTCGTGAAACTATTTTCCTACAGAAAGAAGGCTTAGATATCCTTTAAATCTCAAAGTATTTTTAGAAAGTATATCATCTCATTCTACTTAAATAACGTACAGGCTTCTAGGTCTAGCTGGACCATCTAGTCCAGACAGCTATACAACAAAAGTAGAATTGACTCCAATATTAATAGAGAAATCAGAACTAGGGTAAAAAAGATCCTGAAACAAGAAGCTAGGTAAATCCTTAGAAGAAAGGGTTATTTTTGGAATTTTGAATGAGGGTGTCTTTTGGGTTTTGAGAGCTAGAATAGATGTGATGAATAATTACCCTGACCAAAACAAAAGGACCGAGTCAGTGATGAAACCATTAACTTCTCTGGAGCAAGGACCACAATCTTTATTTTATTTTCTTAATTTCAGATGAGTATTGACTTTAGTAATCGCTAGGGAGAGTGATTGAAAACTTTGCCAGGTGTCAGAACTATCTTTGCACGACTATATTTCTCTCTTCCTCCATGTTTGAAAACTTGTAAATTGCAAATGTTGAAAACTTGTGTGGAGTCTATAATCTAGACCAGTGGCAGGTAGACTAGTCTTTGTATGTTTTTTTCCTCCTTGTGTTTTCCATGGTAAATACCAAAATAGTACAGTTGACCCTTAAAACAACTTGGGGGACTAGGGTTGCTGATCTCCTGTACCCACAGTCAGAAATCTCCATGTAACTTGACACCCCCCAAAAACTAACAGCCAGCTGTTGACCAGAAGCCATACCAATAACATAAAATGCTCAGTTAGCAATTTGTATGTTATAAAAAGTATGTTATGCACTATTGTATACTGTATTCTTACAATAGAGTAAGCTAGAGGAAAATATAAGGAAAACACATTTATAGTGCTGTACTGTATCAATACTTCCAATTCACCATCTGTTTACAAGAAAATTCACATATGCAGATGTGCACAGTTCAAATTCATGTTTTCAGGTCAGCTGTGCATTTGATTAAAATCTAATAAAATTTGAGGGCCTCCCTGGTGGTGCAGGGGATTAAATTGCAGCACTATGACACTATCACCAGCCAGTGCAGCATGAGTTCCATCCCTGGCCAGGGAGCTAACCCACATAGCATAGCAGATCTCTCCTGTCTCACTCACTGCTTCCCTCAAGCAGTGTATTTCAGTCAGTCTGCCTGTTCTGCTCCCCACTCTGTCTCTGGTGAATCGTCTCACACACACACCCCACCTCTGGCCTACACCCCAGCTCTTGTATGCATAAATAAATAAACCTTTAAAACAAATGAACATTTATTTTTAAAAAATCTAATAATTTGAAAGGAGGAGGAATTCAAAGGAAACCTGCTTCAAGATGAATAGCTTCTTTAAAATAATCTTTAGTGGAAGACAGACAAGATCTCTGCCCTCATGAAATTTACAGTGTAGTGTGAATGAGGAAAGAAGTACACATAGGGCCTCCCCGGTGGCGCAGCGGTTGAGCGCTGGGTTGTGAAGCTGCCCGCAGCCTCTGCAGTGCCGGTTCCATCCCCGGCTGCTCCCCGGCCATCGGAGGAGGATCCCGCATGGCGCGCAGACCTCTCCTGCCGCCCACTGCTCCCCTCAGCAGTGTACTTCGGTCCTTCTGCCTGCTCTGCTCCCCGCTCTGGCTCTGGTGAATTCTCTCACCCTCCCGTGCTTCTGACTGTACCCGGTGCTTGTATGTATGTATGTATAAATAAATAAATAAAGATGGAATTTCAAAATACTT